AGCCACATCGCTTAAGGACAGGGGCAGATGCGTAAAAAACGGCCGACATGGGAACTGTACCAAGACACGGGAGGTGACGGATGCCGCGGCCGCGTTCGGCCTATGCACGATCGGCCTTGTTTCTGATGCATCATCCAGGTGCAGACGCGCTTCCGGACACTGAACACCCCTCCGACAGCCCTGACCCCTCAGAAACGCCAGGATGCCCTGAATCCCTGCCCCCCGAAACCACGAAGCTGAGCCTACCTCCACGACCAGCGTTTCGTTGGTGGGCCCCGCAGAGGTCAGGCTCTCGGGCTGCCCGTGGGACCGCCGGTAGTCGAAGGTGGTGCCTGAGAATGCGTAGCGGCCGGGCCGGTCCACGGTCCAGCGGCCGTTCAGGTAGTAGGCCTGGTGGGCGTTGCGCACGGCGATGTAGCAGGTGGACACGCTCGTCTCGTGGACACGGATGCTCCGGGCTCCGGGTGGGATGGTGACCACCTGGTGGTACTCTGGATGGAAGCGCACGGGCACGGGGGAGCAGCCCTGTCATCCGACGGTGCCAACGCCACCCCCGGCGGTTAGAACGATAGCTTTGTTTAGTTATTACTCAGAGCAGAGCTTCGCGATTTCCCCTTCTGCTGAAGACCATGCCTGTTCAAGTGACTTAGCAACACTGTGGACCAAAGCGGAAGGCGTGGGAAGCAGGCGGGAAGCAGGCAGGTGTCAGGCAGGTGTTAAGCAGGTGTCAGGCAGGTGTCAGGCAGGTGGGGACCGTGAACACCTGCTGCTGTCGCTGTGCCTCGAGCTCCTCCCACTGGGGAAGTCCCCGTGCAGCCTCTCCGCTCACCCCTGCACCCCGTGCAGCCTCTCCGCTCACTCCTGCGCCCCGTGCACCCTCTCCGCTCACCCCTGCACCCCGTGCAGCCTTTCCGCTCACCCCTGCGCCCCGTGCACCCTCTCTGCTCACCCCTGCGCCCCGTGCAGCCTCTCCGCACACCCCTGCACCCTGTGCAGCCTCTCCGCTCACCCCTGCACCCCGTGCAGCCTCTCCGCTCACCCCTGCGCCCCGCGGCCGGTACTCACGGCTGGTGCGGTGCTGCTTGGCATACAGGCCCCTGTGCGTCGTGCAGTCCGAGTTATTCCCCTTGCACACACCACAAGAGTCTTCAGTGGCATCGGATCCGAGGACAAGGTCACAGCCAACTCTCTGGAGGACCCGTGAGGTCACACGTCGTTCGTGAGAGAAAAGACAACAGGAGGGAAGTCAGAAGCCTCAAGCAGGAAACGGCCTCCCCGCCACAGCCGAAAAGTCCACCAACAGGGCAGTTAACAAATATTTATTGGATACCCAGTATGTGCACAGCGAGACCGAAATTCTACTCTGCAGAGTCAAACGAACGTCACCTGACCTCTCCAGCATCGCTGCGCAGCTCCCTGGCCCCGAATGAAGTCTAGCAGGTCGCCACGTGGGAGGCATGGGTCAATTTTAGACTGACACAAAGCACTTAGTACGAGTGACAAGCATGTGTCCCTGCCGGGGTCCACTGGAATACGCCACATTCTTTCGTGTCCCCCTGTGCAGTGGCAGAGAGGGCCACGTGCCACACGGAAATTCTCCCTCACAATAAAGTATGGAAAAGGATGTCCTTGCTGGCTCTCCCGAAACCTCGAAAACTCCATGACTCTACAACGCTTTCCTGATAAGCAGCATCGTCTACAGATGTAAAAAAAAAAATCTATTCGGAAATGAAACAGCTGTAGTTCGCAGTCGTTTGCTCGAAATGCTTAGGGCCAGATGCGTTTGAGACTTTCGCATTTTACGAAGATAATTAACATACTATGCATATAACGCGAAAGTCCCCACTGGGCCTAGGATATAGCGATGACGTTTCTGTAGCAAAACACATACGTCTTCATACTAAGCTAAGGGAAAATCACACTGACCAGGAGTGTCACATGGGCTCAGGGCAGGCTTTGCCACAGACCGATTCAGGCCAGCTTATATTTTACAGCCAACAAACTTCTCATGTCATAGCTAGCTGGATCTCGTAATTATACACGAGAGATTTCAACACTGTATCATCAAGAATACCTGAAAGTAATGAAATATTGAACAAATCAACTGATCATTAAACAAAACGGGTAGAGATGCGAGCATTTTAAAGCTGAAAAAGATCTTAAAAGAATCCCCCGGCCTCATCTTCACGTGTTAAAAAGGACCGCACTGCGGGCACGAGCGCGTGGTAGCGTTTTTACCACGGTCGGTCCTGCAACCCAGAGACAACTGGAAAGAGAACCGAGGTCTTCGAACCCCGGCGATTAAGAACGCTGGGTCACCGCTTCGTCGGAGGCCCATTATTTGCGTGCAGCGCATTTGACTTGGTCACCCCTCCCCTTTGTTTACAAGGACATTCTTTCCGTATCTTACTTCCTTCTGCTCCTGGCGACAAGCTCTGAGGACGATCGGTGTTCGCTTGGCCACCAAGTCCTCCCCGGCCCTTCTCCTAAGTCCCCCTCCAATGGCGGCTCAGGGTCCAGACCTTCCCGAGGCCCTGCAGTAGCTGCCAAGTGGCCTCCAGGCTGAGCCGCCCCTGCCTGTAGTCCTCCCCATGCTGGTGCTCAGCCGCCACAGCCTCATCCTGCGACCCCATTTGCTCCCGGTCCCAGTGCCTGTCCTATGGGGACACGAGGATAAACACCCAGCTCCTCATCCAGGCAGCGGGTGGCCCGGAGAAGCCTCTCCCTCCCGACTTGCCTCCCTCGGCATCCCGCAGCCCGTGCCCACCGAGCTCTCTGAAGACCCAATCGTTTCCGACCGACCCATGCTTTCTCACGCCTCCCTGCCCCCCTGCCTGTCTCCCCAACACCCCCCTTCCAAGTCGCCCTTTCAGATCTAGCTCGGAAGCTTCCCTCTCCAAGGAGCCCTGCGAATATCCCAGACGCGCGTCTCAGAGGGAATCGGGTCTTCCCTGCTCCCCACGCTCTGCACGCACCTCTGCTCTGACGAACCGCTGTGTGTCACCTGGCTTCTCCCCACCCCGGGCTGTGACGTGGGGAGAAAGGGCTCGTTCTAAGTGTCTGGCCTCTCTAGCCCCTTACAGGATGCCTGGCACAAAGCAGACCGTCTGGAGATGTTTGTTGAATGAATGAACGATCATTATTACCTCACATATCCCATCTACACAAACATTACGGCTATGCTTCGAGCATGGAGTCCCATCTTTGACTTTATTGGACAAAGAAAAGAAGAAATCAAATCCTTCTGCGATACAGTAGAGTTTGCATAAGTCCTGATCTTAAAAAAACATACACACACAAACACAAATAAGAGAGATACTTAAGCTCTGATCATTTTTGCTCTAAATTTTAGACTTTTGTTTTTCTTTTTTGCCCATAAAATAACTCCCACACAATAATACATTGCAAAGACAGTTTTGTATGGTCGCTTCAATAGGTTTGTTTTTTCCCTTTCATTTATCATCATTATCGTTTGAAGCTTCACTGTTAATTTTTACTCTACTCTGTCTTTTATTAGTCATTGCTCTTTAGGCAGTTATTGGCACATAGTAGGCATTCAATAAACATTTGTTGACTTACTGCAACATTGCTGTTCACTATTCTACCGGTATAATTAGCTACTGTTTTCTGGAAATGCAAAAAGTCACTACCACTTTATAACAATATGCAAAATTCTTACAAATAAAATGTAATATGAGAATTAAAATGGTTACTTAATTTCTTAATAGCTTAATGCCGTTGAAGAAATACATAATATTTTTAAACTGATAAAAGGAATCGCTTTTAGATGAGATCTCCAGAGAACAATATTTTCTATAAACGGATTGTCAAAAAATACTGATAATGGAGAATATAGGTATCATTATTATACCTAAGATTGGTAGATAGTTCACTTCTTCTCTTGATAATATATTTCAAGGGTTTATGATTTATATAGTTAACAGAAACTTTTGTATACATCTTTTTTTCCCTTTTTCTTTTCTTGGTAGGAAGGGGATAGTTGTTGACGAAAATTTTGTCTGCCTTAGAAGTTTCATAAGCCCAAGACTCTTCTACAGATATTTTCTTTATTTCGCAAGAGACATGACTGAATAATTCCGTGATTATTTTATTTAGTGATGACTAGCAGAGCCAGGAGTAGCACACATATTTTGACCCCAATTCAAGGCTCTTTTATTTCTTTCTCCTGCCTACTTGATTCTCACTTACTTAATTTTTGCTGAGATTAAAACACAACCAATACACTTTGTGTGAAACTGCTTGCGATTTTCCTTCAGAATTTACTAACTTTGTAAGCCTCTCACTGTGAAAATTATATATTGGGGTGGTAAAAGTAAGTGGCTTATGAGAAGGTCCGGCTTATGCCTCTCTTGAACATTGCTTGAACGACAGCCCCAGTTTCAAAGAATGACATAATTAGGTGTTCTTTGAATTTATTCTGAAATTATGCTACTTAAGCTACCAAGTTCAAACGAAATCATCATCGTATACGTGTTTCTCTCCAACCAAAGAGTAAAATCTTACATATAGTACAAATAAATGTCTGGGTTTACAGTTATAGATCAAGACTTTCTGAATATGGTATACTTGAAAATTATCTGATTTTCCAAAAGATACTAAAGTTTTTCTTTCATTCTTTGGCAATGAAAAGTGCTCAGTGGGTGACGTGCTTATGGTAACATCACCGTCAAGTACCGTGATTTGTGATTAAAAAATAAACATCGATCCATTATCAGTAACACATATCCTTTGAATTTTTTATCACTTTACCAGTTTTCCTGGTATTATGTGCATGCTGTCTAGTTGGCTTGTTAAATTCTGACCACACAGCTGGTCAAGTTCAGATAGGACGCCAGCAGCCCTGGGGCAGGCGGAATCAAAGCCCCCCTCCCCCGCCCCCCCAGAAGGCTCTGTGACATTGACCTCACAGGGTTGGGCACCTGGTCTGTCTGAGCACACCACCCATCTCAGGACCCTGCACAGGTAACGAAGTGCGAGGCTGGCGCGAGGGGGCGGGGTTTGGGACTTACCTCCCACCTGGGTGTAAGGCCTCCACCTGTAGAGCCGCCCGCGGAAGCGTCTGCCGTTGAACTCGGCACACTGCGTGGCTCGGAAGTCCACACTGTCCTGGGGACATTTCTGCCGGTTGCAGAGCTGCAGCGAGCGCGAGGGGCCCTCACAAAACCTCCCTCCGCGCGACGGTCTGCAACGCATGTTTTGCAGTTAGAAACCTCACATTTCAATGGCTACTCACCCCGTCCTAGAAATTAGACTTATTGGAGAGATGGAGCAGATGATGTTAAATTGTTTACGGGAATTAAATGACAAAGGTGCGTTTCTAAGCGGCCACTGGCACTTTCTTACGAATTAGGGTCGTGGGCAGTGTTCTCCCTTTAGCCATCGGTAGAAGGGGTTGGGATGCGGAAGGCAGGCTTGCGTGAGTTTGCTCCCGGCCGCCTCCAGCATCCCTCTGCGGGAGACGGGGTGAGCGTCTCTGCTCCCCAAACTCCATAAAGGAGAGGCGACTCAGGGAGGGCGGCGGCTCTCCCAGAATTGCAGTCGATAGAAAGAGGAACCGAGAAGGAAATTCAACTACCTCCCTGCTTTCTTCTGCCCGTTTCCTGCGACAGGCCGGTACCAGATTGGGTGAGAAGAACCAGTCACCTCCGACTGGTCGGCGCTGCAGCAGAAGCCCCTTGCTCCCCTCCCCACAAAATTCACGAGACACACCAGCGCGAGAGCACCCCGATTCAGGGAGCCTGCCAGGCCTCTCGCATCAAAGACAGGACTGAAATGACGGTCATGTGACTTCTGTATGAAACGAGGCTAGGTGCAGACGGAGGGCTGAGCGGTCTGCCACTCCGCTGCCGTGCTGACTTCTGTCACTCGGTTTCCCACCGGCCTCAACGGACGACGTGTGCCGTGAAGGCAAATGCATTTGATGGAAAACAAAATGTTTTTTTTTTTTTTACATAAATGAATTGTATTTATTGATTCGTATTTATTTGTGTTCTCTACGCTTTTTCTGTGATTTCTTTATTTTAGGCTGACCCTTGGTGTTTTAGGTAAATAGAGTTAAAATCCAATTCTGAAATACCACTGTTTGAGTCTGTTATTTTTTGCAATGGGCAGGTAGTTATAAGCGTCTTTGGTAAACTGCATCGAAGACATAATCACTGCTTAAGAAATGCTAAGGGAGATGGCTTTCCTGGTTAGCGTTTCTTAAATGAACACACGAAGCACAGGGCAAGCATGACCGAGTTCAAGTTCAGGGCCACGGAGGCTCGTGGCAGGGAAGTGCTGGCTTGCGCTGGGAGGTGGGGACGGGCTTACTTGGGGTTGGTGCAGAGGCGGTCCCTGTGGGACACGCCTCCCCCGCAGGTCCTGGAGCAGGGCGACCAGGGGCCCCAGGCTGACCAGTGGCCGTGGGTGGGCTCAGGGCCTTCGTCGCCGTATTTCACGCACTGCCCTCCACGGCACCACTAAAAATTAAAAAAAAAAAAAAAAGTCGCAATGGCTCAGAGATAGATAGGCGCGTGGTCACCACGGCAACGCTCTGCCTGGCTTTGGGGAAACTCGTGGCCATCGACGCTCCTGCTCTCTGGCAGCACGTCACAAACACAGCGATGACGCCTCTTTCTCCTTCCCAGAGCAGAGTCATTCCGCAGACCCACGGGAAGGCAAGAGAAATGCGAAGCGACTCTCCAGCCTCTGAGCTGTGGAGCTCGGCGCGGACCACCAGGCGTGCTGCCTGGCCTTGGGCCCAGCTGCCTCGCTCCCAGCCCAGAGGACGCTAACCTCTCCCCAAACAGTGTGCTTTTCACCTCTCGTTTTCACGATGGACTGAGTCTCAGGTGGAAAGGCCAGCTGGAGGCTCCACCGGACTCAACACCTTGTCGTTCTGGCCGGTTGGCTGGGCCATCGCTCCGAAGCACCTGGGCTCAGAGGCTGGAGGCTGTGGCTGATGCGGGTCAGAGGTCCCTCGGCTTTCTGAGGCGACGAAGCAGCCCACACAGAGCTCGCCTGTCCCCACAAGGTCGGAGACGCTATCAGCTCCTCTCCTCAAGGGAACGGCTCGTCATGTTATTTCGCGAGAACGCCCACGTGGCTCCTTCACCTTCGCCCCACATGAAGGCGACACTGATCTCACACTGTCAGTGATGCTGGTTTTTCCACCTACGGTTTGCTGTAGGCTTGGAGGTTCTTAAATAAAGACCCAGCCATCTGTTGAGAGGGGGGAAGCAAGCTGCTTGTCCCTTGTCGCTGGACCACAGAGCAGCGGAGGGCTGGCCCGAGAGGAAAACAATGCTGTTTTTATGGGAGGAAAATAAACATACTTCCATCATGAACAGATGCATTAGGCTAAAATATTTGACCATCATTGGCACACAGAAATGGCAATTTCAAGTGGTTTGATTGAATATTATTTAAGGAAGAAAAAAATTGAATTTAAGGACATAAGTGATTCTGAGGACTAAAGTCTCATCCATTCGACTCTTTGATTCTTTCCCATAAGCAAAAATAAATCTTTCATTACGGCCCAGGTGTCAAGGAAGCCCCGCGGTCCCTGTCCCCTCCCAGCTCAGGGACGTGGCCTCGGCGAGCTAAAGGCGCGGGCTGGAGAGGAGGAGGCAGCCCCGCCGACATGGGCGCGGAGCCGGGTGCTGGTCGTGGTCGTTTCTGCTTCGTTTCAAACACACCGTTCGGTCAGCGCTCGCTCGTGCAGCCAACGTGAAAGCGAGAATCGACGCGTTGAATAACTCGGAAAATATGTTCCGGTTTTAAAGCCACTTGAGATCATCCCTCCGTTACGGTCATAATTAAGCCAGCGACTTGATGCGTATTTAGGTTAAATTATTTAATGTCGCTTTTGGTATTAGACATGACTTTAATTACATTTGGTTTCGTTTTCTTTTAATATTCCGCAACCTATTTCCATATTGTTTTTCAAAGACGTCGCGTGGATCGTTCACGGAAGTGTGTAGACACAGCTACCTAACGCTCCAGACGGGCTTTTTCCAGCCGGTGGGCCCTCGGCGGACATCTGCGTCTTCTCTGTCTTCTGCTGGGATCGTTGCTACTGCGGATCACAGTCTTGCAAATGCATCTCTTGCTATTTTTGCCACAGGACCCTTAATACCCTTAGATGACTCTTCCGCTTCCATAAATTATTAAGAAAATGTTTTGAGAAGCTTAGGAGAAAGCACTGTGTTTCCTCCTAAGGAGATGAGGGGTACACAGGTGCATATGGACATACACACCCACACAGGTGCACATGCATGATTCTGGGTACAGTCTCACACAGGTCACAGGCCTGGGGGCCCGTCGCTGAGGAGGTCGGGGGAAGCCCATGTGTGAAATTCACAAGTGAAATTGCCACGGAGACGCCCGGGAAGCTTCCGAGGACCGTCGCCTGTTCATCGCGATTTTATGTTTCATCGGTAGCGAAAAGGGTGGCTTCACTTTAAAAAGTACGATGTCGCGATGAGATCCATGTTCTTGTCATAGTCACAGCACCCGCATGTCACACCTGACCCAGAGCACACCGAGAAGCAGGAAATCGGCACCGTGGAGCAGAGAATGAGCCGCGTGCATCAGTTCTGCCACGTGTGTGACCCGGGGCACGATACCCAAGGCCTCGAGCCTGCGTGTGGACATGAGGGTGACAGAAGCCACGAGCTTGAGCTGCTCCGGGGACCCAACAGGATGCCAGGGGCTGAGTGAGAGCGCCCCACGCAATTTATCTGGAAAGCGAGAGCCGGTTTATTTAGACGTTAAGGAGCCACGATTATTAAAAACGGGGATCTGCTCTGGATGCACCAGGCTGTGGCCTTGACCTTCCAAGGATTTCTCTCACATGAGCATGGAGGACTCCAGCGTCCTTGTGCTGGAAGAGTCCTTGAGTGCACGGTGGGGTCACCATGGGCTTCCCCCGGGCTGTCGTGAGGATTACATGTAGGTAGCATGCTGAGCACGGGTTCGGCACACCAAACACACTGGACGTTGGTCGCGTTTACCCCCACGCCCCACGCACACGCCCGGGGCCTCGATGGTAACGGCCAGCCGGAGGACACGGGCTGCCAGCAGGAGGGGGACGCACGAAGCCGTCTGGCTGTCGAACGTCTGCTAGGCTGACCTCCCGTGATGCACGCACACTTCTAAGTCGCTATCCCTCGCAGACACACGCGAGCCAACATCAAAGGCAGATTCACACGAGCCTCGCACGCCTGCCCCGCTGCGGCCTCTGGGCAGCGTGAGATGCCGGGCCCCACGCTTGGTTGCTCTGTAATTCGTAGGCACCTGCTCTGGCTTCACACACCCTCGTTCTTTTTAATATGAAGGAAAAAGCTATCTTGGGAAACACAAGAGAAAATCATTTAAAATACCAATGAAAATCAATTGGACGGTGCTTTCAAGGTAAGTACGATGTAACCAGAATATACGGGTTATTCTGAGGTAGCTACGGCCACAGCATGACCCAGGAAAACAATAGCTTATGGCCAGGAGGGCAGCAGGACACCTGCAGAGCCACCCCCCACCTGTGTGACAAATAAATCATGGGCAACAACAGAAGGGGGGGCCAAGCTTTCAGGAAATAGGCATAATTTTGCAAACTGTCACCTAAAGAATACATTTGAGTCCGTTATGATCAGGAAGGTCACGAGTGCCTTTAGCTCACTCCTCCGATCCGCTCCCTGTGTCCGATGACAGCTGGCGTTTTCACTTTGTCGTCCCTCAGCAGCCCTTTTATTCTTTCGAGAACCTAAAAGCATTTTTAGCCGATCTTTTGTTATGAGTTGATTCAACTACTGAAGCCTAGATCACTAGAACGATTTCAATATGAATCCCGACCTCCGTGAGAGACTGAAAAATAAAGCATGTTGACGTGTGAAGGGTGAATTGTTGCTGGGTGCTATTCTCAGGTAAGTCTGCCTTATTTCTCTCCATTTTCTCAGTCGGCATTGCAATCATTTAACCTAAAAGCGTACACTAGCATTGCACATTAATATTTTAAATCCTTTCTGTCTGTGCTCACACTTAAATATATTTAAGGGCGATATATTTACTTTGGAATTTAAATGTAACAGATCAGCAATATTTGGCATGCATTTCTTTTTCACGTTCATTAGTATCACTAAAAAGATCAGATATTTATGAGTGAAAATGGTTGCAGTGATATTTTGGGTCTAACACATTTCTATCTTTGTCAATAATACTTGATCTTCTGAAAAACAAACAAACAAACAATGCCATCACAGGTTAAATCAAAAGGATTAAAATATTGCTCTTGAGGCCTAAGAAGACTTATTTTCCGTTCAATGACACGGTTACTCTCGATGTGCTGCCTTACGTGTTCCTTCTTTTCCTACCCAGCTCGGTCTCTTTGTTTCCCAGGAGCAGCCAGAGGTCAAAGCGGTCTGTCCACTCCAGCATCTTCAGATCAACGCTGGGGGCTTTAACAGTAGTGCTTGGAGCTGGTTCCTTACATGGTTAAGTGGTGTCAGGGGCTTAATGTTTCCTGTTACTGAACAGATTCAGCTGTCGCCTTAGCCTGACACTGGCATCTATTCATCCCT